AACAAGTAACACACTGCAACCAATCAGTCCTCATTTTGGACAAGCATTTGGTCTTACCTATTCTAGCCTGAAATCACAACAGGGTTTAATATGTGAAAGTGGTGCAGAGAGTAGAGAGATATGTGTCCATATACTGAAAAATATTCAATGCTATCACACAAAATGGTTCAAATGGTAGAATGGTTGTTTAGGTCACCATGTTAACAGGTCATATAAAGACATCACAAGGTATTAAAATTGTCAAAATATATTCATGAAGTTGTCACATGCATTGCAATAATCGCTGTCATGTTCTACACTGACAGACAGTGAGGTTTGCACACTCCCTCTTTTCAAAGGCACCTAAAATGACAACCTATCGTGTTTTTTGTTCACTTTGTGACTTGAATTGAGTGTGTACCGTCCTGTTCACTGAGAGATCCAGGCTAAGGTCAGAGTCTGCACATCCCTCCTTCTTCTCAGACACCGAACACGACAACCAAGTTGGACTCACAGTCCCTGAACCATATTTTCCCTTCCAACCATCCCTTACTGAACTGCCACAGCCCTAACGGAAGCAAGTCTAGATTCTCCTCAGATCCTGAATCTCCCATCTCACTGGGCCTCCTTTTCAATTTATCTAGAGTTTGTTTGTTTCCACCAAAATTACATATTTTTAGAGACTAAGCATTAATCTACAAGCTTAACAACTTAATCCAAAATAAAGCAAGTTCAGACTTTTCACAGGCTCTGAATCACCTATCTCATTGGGGTTCCTTTTCAATTTCAATGGAGTTGTTTGTTTCGATCAAAATTACATATTTTCAGAGACAACGCATTAGTCTCATGTCAACCTAGTGTTTTTGTTTACCTCATGACTTGAGTATAGTGTGCACCCCTCATAAAAATCCTAGATCGGCCTCTATCCTAAATGCACAAGTTGAGATTAAACGTCCCTTCATGCATTATTCAAACTTACCTGAACAGTCGTAGAGTCTTTCATTATTGCACCTACTCCAATTACTATAACATAGTATTCAGCTCCACCCTTGAAGTATTCAGCTGCACTCACTGATCAATAACAACCAAATACACCTGTGTCAAAGCCTCGACGCTGACTCGCCATAAGTTTCATTTCTGGCTATCAGCCACTCACATAGTGACAATCTTCCATGCATAAGAAAATATAAGCCTGCCTGCTTACACCTGACTCCGAACGTGGTTACGTGAGAAGGTGTAGGAGAGATATCTAACTGTAACAATTTCTGCCCCGGTAACCATCTGTTGGCAGACACAGGATTGACCGGCCGCATTCACACGGACTGACCCATAAACACTGCTTGCTCGTACTACACTGTATGAATGATATTCATTAATTTGTGTAAGTGTTTGTAGAACATTGATTGGTGTAATCAACAATGCTAACGAATATTCACTGGACATATTCACACTTAATGACACCACATCAGCTATAAATGATCTAAAGCAGCAATCTCCAAACTTTACAAATGATGGGCTTTAGGACCTTATTACAGCCTCTCACTTAGTGAAGTTTGTGCAGCACGTGATTGTGTGGTATCGGAATTAAATATAATCAAACTAAAAACTCAACAAAGTCCTGATGATACATACAGGCATGTCTGGAGAGCTATATTCTACTATAGCACATGAACATGTCCCTATCAGTATGGGAGTGAGTATTGTTTTACGCCACTTTTAACAATATTCCAGCAATATCACGGCGGGGGACACCAGAAATGGGCTTCACACATTGTACCCATGTCGGGAATCGAACCCGGGTCTTCGGCGTGACGAGCGAACACTTTAACCACTAGGCTACCCGACCACCCCCTATCAGTATGGAGGCAGTATGTTGCTGGAATATTGCTAAAAGCAGCATAAAATCATAGACACTCACTCACTCCTATTAGAATGGTGTCTGGAAGGATCGTAAGGAAGAGAATTTATGGATGTCAACTTCTTATTATGAGGAACGCAACGTTTTGGAGTATATGCCTGATGAAGGAGTAAGCATATACTCCGAAACATTGTGTTTCTCATAATAAGAGTCATTCACCTGATGGAGTAAGTATATACTCCGAAACATTGTGTTCCTCAAAATAAGAGTCATTCACCCAATGAAGGAGTAAGTATATACTCCGAAACATTGTGTTTCTCATAATAAGAGTCATTCATTAGATGGAGTAAGTATATACTCCGAAACATTGTGTTTCTCATGATAAGAGTCATTCACCAAATGAAGGAGTAAGTATATACTCCGAAACATTGTGTTCCTCAAAATAAGAGTCATTCATTAGATGGAGTAAGTATATACTCCGAAACATTGTGTTTCTCATGATAAGAGTCATTCACCAAATGAAGGAGTAAGTATATACTACGAAACATTGTGATTCTCATAATAAGAGTCATTCACCAAATGAAGGAGTAAGTATATACTCGGAAACATTGTGATTCCCATAATAAGAGTCATTCACCAAATGAAGGAGTAAGTATATACTCCGAAACATTGTGTTTCTCATAATAAGAGTCATTCACCAAATGAAGGAGTAAGTATATACTCCAAACATTGTGATTCTCATAATAAGAGTCATTCACCAAATGAAGGAGTAAGTATATACTCGGAAACATTGTGATTCCCATAATAAGAGTCATTCACCAAATGAAGGAGTAAGTATATACTCCGAAACATTGTGTTTCTCATAATAAGAAGTTGACATCCATAAATTCTCTTCCTAATGTGTATCACTTCTAAATGCCTTTATAGGACTGGAAGGATCTTGTTTTTTTAATAAAACTGTCAGCCAGAGAGCAAACTGTGGTCAACGGGTCCCTCAGCCATTGTGACACAAGGCCATATCATATAACTATAAACAAACAAATTTGGCGTCTAGCCAGGATAAGAGGTACAAAGTTCGCATCAAACATATCATGTATTGTATTCCCTTGAATAATGTACCATATGGTTTTAGATTGCTTGATTTTGCATAGAGTATAGATTTATGCATGACACGACAATTCACAATCTTTGAGGTTTATTTTTTGTGAGACTTGTAAACGAATTGTAGATTAAGACTGACTGCAACATAAGCAAACAATACTCGAAATGTTTTTGTACTGTCGATGCATGCAACCACTTCTTACTCATGCATTTATACATGCAAAAACACCATTGATATATATAGGTTATAAATATCCTTGCATTACAGTCTTATGAAATACTATTTGTAAGTTTTTGTATTCTACATACCGTTTTTATGCTTGTACAATGCTACATACATCTTCAGCGAACGAACATTGTGCGACATCCAATATCGAAGAGCACATGTGTTTACGAGCAGTGCAGAGTTACCTACCCTGCTTAATTAAATTAACAGCATACCACTAAAGAAATTTTAGTACATACCGCCAACAACATTCCAAGATCCTACATATAGCACTTGTCATGATTGTCAAGGAGTTATTCCTCCTGAATCACCACTACACAAAAAGCAAGAGACATTTATAGACCATACACAAGTCCAACATACATCACATTAACTTCAATGGTTAGTAAATTCTGATTTCTTTGTCCAACTGACATACATTTCCTTCACGTCTGGGTTTAAATTACATTCATTGTCATGTTGATGTTAATGTCAATTTTCGTTTACATTTTTATTGAATTTCTTCAAATACCATACATACTGTTGTGTAAGCATTTTGTGTTAACTGACATTTATTGAATGGTTTGTTTACTGGTCCAATTTACATTTTAATACCATTAGACAGGCTAGCTTTATGATTTTGGCCAGATCGCTACAAACAATGAACATCTTTTCTATTTATGTTCAATTGATATTCATTACTTCTTTGTTCATTTTAGATTGATTGAGATTTGCTTTTCTTATCACAACATAAATTGCTTGTCTTACTTTTTAACATGATGCCACACATTTGTCTACCTGCCTTATGGATCTGCCAACTGTAACTTTTTTTGAAAAAGAGATAAAATTCAAAGTGTTTTTTTATCCCACCAATAAGCTGATAGCATATCACTCTGAAAGAATTCTAAACCAGGACCGACTATTAATAATTTTGTATTAATGTTTAACAAACAAACAACCAAGATTTTTGTGTATCTTAAGGAGCTCTTTTATTACCAGCCCACTTAAAATGGATTAGAAAACTAAAACAAATTGAATTACTTTGTTTTTATATTTTTTTATCAACAAATTTTGAGTTCACTTACCGATGCATATTTTCCTGTAATAATCTGTGCAAAAAAAGTGTGGTTTTAGGAGCAATGTATTTGAACAGATTGTATACCTTTGCTTAAACACATTCTTCCCTTCAAATATCCACTGCCTTAACTAAGGGGTGATGGACATGGCGTTATTGAGGCTTTGAACAGTAATTCAGTCATATCACAGAGTGAAATATAACTTAATTTAATCATAAATTTAATTGAGTCGGCAGTTTTCAATTATCCCGGACATACACATTACCACTACTGATGAAGGGCGTGATACTGACAAAATCCTGGAAAGTCGAGTTAAGTGAAAATCTTCAAACACTTGACCACTGCAGATTCCAGGGTAGATTTGGTCCTAAGAAACCTATGCTAAAATGGACCAGTAGTCAGGCTCTGTGACGTAGCTCAAATGATGTGAATCGTTGCTCATGCTTTCAGTCACTGGTTTGACTGACCCAGGTTCAATGATTCAGCCAGTGACACAGCTTTAATATCGTTCAACAACATTCACTCACTCACTGAACCAAATAACCAAACTTCCTGTTGCTAAGGGAGACAACTCTGCAAACAAAATTATGGCCAACTGGACTATCTCAGTCCTTATCAGCGTCTCAACTGATGCAAATCACCGTCACACAAAACATTTACAACCAATTCATTATCTTATCAACATTGATTTTACACTGCAGCCAACCCAAATAAATAGCTACTGTCAAATATTACATTGTTTTGGACAAATAAACCTCAGCACGAGCCAAACAAGCCTTACCTCATAATCCGAAGATGATTAACTCCGTTGATTAGGTAAATCCAATTATTCTGTCGTTGTGTTGTTTCTTCTGTCCTAACGAAGTTAGTCTGAAACAAATATCCGGTAATTAGAAACAGAATGACCCCTCTGTCACAAGCAGTTGTCTGTTCATATTTCAGAATAATGGTCCACAAAGCCTGTGTCGGGACAAGGCTACCAGCAATCACCCATCTCCAAAAGGCTGTCTATCAGCAGGAGGCTGGCATGCTACGAAAACAATAAGCCAGCATATTTCCTGCTAATAGCCTTCGTCTGTTTTCAACAAATCGCTCTTATTGGACCTGTGGTGTGCACTGGGACATTTTCAGTCAGGGACAGAGCAGAGTATAGAGCTCATGTTGGGTCAAGTTTTGAAAGGAAAGTCTTTTTGGCATTGTGTTCGTGACTTTTATTGCTTTATTGAAACCATATACCTCAGTCTTGCACTAAACTTGTAAACTGACATGGTTAATGACAGTAAACAATAACAGTATAGTTTACTTCCTGGGTTTCATAAAATCAATTTACACTTCCCTTTCCAACCTAGTCTGTCTCCATGACCCAAGAGAATAAATAAATAAACAAATCCAACTCAAGTCTAGAATGATTTGGCAGGTCTAGAATGCATCAGTTCTAGGCCTGAAATTAAGCATTGTTCTGGGCTCCATTTGGATTTTATTTTGTTGTTAGATATTTTTTAATAAGATATTTCTTCAGGATATCATTTTGAGAAAGGCTGCCATCATAAGGTTCCTTCTTCCAAAAGGTCTTGAATGAGAGTTACAGCAAAACTACTGACAAGCAGTAGATTGAAATATGCACACTTTCAATAAACAACATACTTAAAGTTGTAATCTATTCTGCTTTAAAAGGAATTTGTTATACAAATCGTTTACTTTAAATTATGCATAGACATTGGGTAAATGGTTTCTGCATTAACTGATAATACAGAAAGTCTCAAACCCATCAGTGGTAAGTTGATGCAGTATGGTATAAAACTGCTACCCTGTTTCATGATTACTGCTGTCACAAAGCCTACTGCGGGGGCTAGCAAGGTTCTGGTCGAAAGTGTTTTGTATTTCTCACAAGGCAGAGAGGCCAGGTACACTTCTATCCCAGCATATGGATGGTGTTTCTGGGATGAAAGTTTGGGTGTTGGGTACACCATCACTTGACTTCCTCCATATGATGCATGACTGTGCTTACATGTTGAGTCTGTTGAGTCAATGACTGAAAACCTTTTACAATAAGTGAATAAATAATTTCTAACCTTTGTTTGAAAATTGGTGTATTTGAATATATACAATATTATCATCATAACTGCAGATTTTGTTTTTGTCTACATTATAAATCATCATATTCACTATTACTACTATCATCATCATCATCATCATCATCATCATCATCTATCACCACTATCATCATTATTACCATCTGTCATCATCTTCATCATCATCATCTTCATTCGTCTCGGGAAAAGTGAAAGGTTTATGGACAGAAGATGCCATGCCATAAGAAATAAAAAACTTCATATTCCAAGATATCAGAATTCGGACCATTTATTGCCAATAGCATAAGTCTTCTAGATATTAGCTGTCTTCAAATTAACATGGACAAATACCTCTCACCAGAACAAATAGCATTTATGCAAAATAGTGACCTTTCCATGAGAAGGAAAGTGCTAGATATAGACCAAGGCTATTTGAAACAGCCCTGTTTACACAAGACCTATATTTAATGAGCTCTTTATGTCAATCCCTCCCTGTAATTTGATGAGATTGATCGCTCAGAGTTTGTCTTCAATCATTTAAGGCCAGTGGCCTGAAATTTGAGACTTGCAGATGAAATGGAATGTAAGAACTTTCATCTTATTGAATACACACAAGCAGGTCAACTAAAACAGTCATTAGAGCAGGACATGGTCAATGTTACAGTGACTTAGCCCTTATCATTGAGTACAAGGAGTGTCATCATCCTCGTCCTTCAAGGTGTGACAGAATACTTCACTTACTCTCCCATACACACACTTATTCATCCAAGCCACCACCTCACTCACTCATCATCCACTGAAACCTACCAAGTCTTTCATCACTAAGGAACTCACCAATCCAAAGTTATTTGCTTAAAAAAACTTAAAACCCTCTACCACTCACTGACTATCTCATGTTCACCTGCTAACTTCCACACCCCCATACTCACCAACTCACCCAAGTACTTTCCAACTCACTCATGCACCAACTGCAACACTCACTCACTAACTTCCACATCCCCATACTCACCAACTCACCCAAGTACTTCCAACTCACTAACTCACTCACTAACTTCCACACCCCCATACTCACCAACTCACCCAAGTACTTCCAACTCACTCACCAACTGACCCAAGTACTTCCAACTCACTAACTCACCCAAGTACTTCCAACTCACTCATGCACCAACTGCGACACTCACTCACTAACTTCCACACCCCCATACTCACCAACTCACCCAAGTACTTCCAACTCACTCATGCACCAACTACAACACTCACTCACTAACTTCCACACCCCCATACTCACCAACTCACCCAAGTACTTCCAACTCACTCATGCACCAACTACAACACTCACTCACTAACTTCCACACCCCCATACTCACCAACTCACCCAAGTACTTTCCAACTCACTCATGCACAAACTGCAACACTCACTCACTAACTTCCACATCCCCATACTCACCAACTCACCCAAGTACTTCCAACTCACTAACTCACTCACTAACCCAAGTACCCAGTCACTCAGGCAGGTACTTTCTAACTCACTCACCAAATCACCCAAGTACTTCCAACTCACTAACTCACCCAAGTACTTCTAACTCACCAAAGTACTTCCAACTCACTCACTCACTAACTTCCACACCCTCATACTGACCAACTCACCAAAGTACTTCCAACTCATTCACTCACTAACCCACTCACTAACCCAAGTACTTCCAACTCACTAACTCACCCAGATACTTTCCAACTCACTCACTCACTCAGGCAGGTACTTTCTAACTCGCTCACCAAATCACCTAAGTACTTCCAACTCACTAACTCACCCAAGTACTTCCAACTCACTCACTCACTCACTCACTGAGGGAGGTACTTTCCAACTCACCAAATCACCCAAGTACTTCCAACTCACTCACTCACTCACTCACTGAGGGAGGTACTTTCCAACTCACCAAATCACCCAAGTACTTCCAACTCACTCACTCACTCACTCACTGAGGGAGGTACTTTCCAACTCACCAAATCACCCAAGTACTTCCAACTCACTCACTCACTCACTAACCCAAGTTTTTCCAACTCACTAACTCACCAAGATACTTTCCAACTCACTCACTCACTCACTCAGGTACTTTCCAACTCACTAACCAAATCAATCAAGTACTTCCAACTCACTCACTAACCCAAGTACTTCCAACTCACTAACTCACCCAGATACTTTCCAACTCACTCACTCATTCAGGCAGGTACTTTCAAACTCACTAACCAAATAACCAAAGTACTTCAACTCATTCACTCACCAAAGTACTTCCAACTCACTCACTCCGGCAGATACTTTCCGACTCACTCACTCAATCACCCAAGTACTTCCAACTCACTCACTCACTCACCAGCCCCCTCCCTGCCACACAGCCGGAAGCCCTGCCAAGCCACCATCCATTCCATGTTCATTTGGCCAGACCTGATCACCAGTAATGCAGATGTATGCAAACAGAAAGGAAATAACCTGCATCATCTTCATCAATTGCATCCTGCATGGATTATCAACTAAATGTTTGTCCGAGAAAAACTTGTTTTGGCGCTCAGCCAAATTTGACTTGCACTGTGGCATTAAATTCATATTCCTCTGGGTTACCTCTTTGTCCCCAAGGAGTCTGATGATATTGATAACCATAGAAACAGGCTAATATCTGATATAATTAGCCCTGTTTATTTCACGTCAATTGCAATTGAATGCTGTTGGCTTGTCAATACACTGTTAATTTGTTTGTGATAGGGTGAATTAGAAATTCCAAGACAGACTTCGGTATAATTTTGTACAAGTTTGATTTAATGGAGGTTTAATGATACAATGACTTGTAAAGTAATATCAATAATTCCTTATCCAAATCCAAATCAGCTTTAACTTTTAAATTAGACTAAAATAGCTGGTCACAAATTTCAGTTCATGCTATGGGGTATGTTGACACACAATCCGACATTGTAATGATCTAGTCTCCATGTTGTCTGAACTCCTCGACCAAGAATGCAGTACTGTAGACATAATCTGAACCACAATCTCCATATTAGAAAATAAACACTTGTTAACAACTTAAATACACACAAAAATAAAATATATTTGGCATTGGATTTTGTCTCTCAACATGAAAACACTCCCTGATTTAATTTCCATAAATATTGCCATAAATACCAATTTAGGATATCACACACATAATTTTGTAGGGAGATATCATCTCAATTATGGGTTATTTTGATAGAAAAGCAACAGCAGGGAGATTTATGTCATATCTCGTGTTAATATTAAGATATAAAAATTACAGTCAAGTCATGAAATTGATAAATGAATTGATGAGATTTTAATTGAAATAATTACTTCCACATATCAGAACTTAAAGTTTTGTGCCCTGCCTACTGACCAAGAAAATACCATAACTGCTTGCTTACATGCCTGACAGGAACAACTGCCTACAGTAAATCATGGCATGGTCCGATTACACTAGGGCGAAGACAATATATGATATATGAGTGAGTGAGTGAGTGAGTGAGTGAGTTGGGTTTAACACCGCTTTTAACAGTATTCCAGTTATATCGCAATATAAGTGCAATAATCTTGGACGCAACGTTAAACCCCATTTCACCTCACCTCACCCACCAATCCGAAATTACTGTCCTGTTAGAGGATCGATAAAAGTGTTTCATATCATCCCATTTGCCAACTGAATTTAAAGTTTCATTAAACATTCTTCAATATAGTTTATTGGAAGGACATTGAAGAAGGGAAGTAACTCTTCCTAGGACCATCATTTTCCGTTTTGTGAT